TTCTCTTGCGCGCACTATCGTCCGGACCTTAGTTTGTACACATACACGCACACGTACTCTACTTACAACAAGGTTCAGGTGGCCCAGGTTCGTTACAATGAGGTTTGGTTCATCGGTTGTCCCTCTTCACTTGGTTCTTCTTCATCGGCAACCACACACACCTTTGTCTGTCTCGTCCTTTTCATTTTCATCTGTCCCTTTTGCGTGCGCATGTGCCTTGCCTCCTTTCCGGGCAGGATGGAGGCCACACATGCCTCCCTTCGGGGAGGCGTGTGTGTGTGTGTAACCCTTGGAATCAAAGGGAACCTTTAGGTTGGAACAGGGGCGTACGGCTCGTCATACCCACCGCACGCAATGAAGCTACCGTATGACGAGGGATGGGTGGACTGATCATCCACCTGTACCTGTTCCACTATTTAGGAAAACAGGAGGAAATGGTACTCGACACACTTGTGTGTCGGTGCCTTTCCTTCTGTTTCCTCTAGACTACTCTACAGGTTTGCAGGTAGGCCTCCCAACTTTGTAAGGGGTTCTCTAACCTGAACTTTGGCCTCCGCCCACTAGATTGGCCCCCAACCTTGCTGTCTTGTGCTTCTTGTGCTTTTGTGCTTTTTGTAACCTTGTAGCACTGGCCTCCAACTTGGTACCCTGGCCTCTTCCAACTTTGGCTGTCTTGTTTTTTCTTGTGCTTTTGTAACCTTGTAGCACTGGCCTCCAACTTGGTACCCTGGCCCCCACTAGCGATGACCTCCAACTTTGCTTCTTGCTGTCACTTTGTGTCTATGGTCCACCGCCTACTAGCGATGGCCTCCAACCTTAGGTCTTGGCCCTCAACAGCCCTGCGTTGACCTCCAACCCAAAACCGATGGCTTTTAACCTACTATTTCCTGACATCTCAGGCCTTCTAAATAACTTAGGCTGGCGTGTGGCACCGCTGTCAAGTCAGTACGCATATCCATAAGTGTGTGTGTGTGTGTGTGTTTGAGGTCTAGAGGTGTAGTAGCAGAAAGTCTAGATCTAGACGCAGTGGGTGAGAGTGAGAGAGTGAGAGTGGGTCAGTGGGTCAGTGGGTGAGTGTGTGAGTGGGAGTGAGTGAGTGTGTGTGTGTGTGTGTGTCAAACCCTGTTCCTAAGGGCTTTTCCCTTCTGATTCCTTTTCAAGCAGGGGGGCCAAGCCTCCAGCGACGAACCTTGTCCAACGAAGCTAAGTCGCTGGAGGGGAAGCGAATGGAGACGTCCATTCGTGTACCTGCAACTTGCTGCAACTGAAACGTTTGCTCAAGCTGTTCCACTCTCGGTTTGATTCATGGTGGTTTCTGCATGCTATCTCCCTAAACCCTTTCCAGCCACGTTTTGCCGCAGCTGATCGCCGCTTTCACTTGAGCGTTTTGAGAAACA